GTTCAGATGAGAGCTCTGATAGTGAGTTTTGGGCTGGAAAAAACCAAGGGTGTGGGAGAGTGGGGAGCTCTGGGTCACTGAAGGTTGGTTGGAGAATCGTGTGGGGACGGGGATTAATCCTAAAACCGCTTTGAAGCCCTGTAAGAAGCTGAGCAGACCCTCCTCCATCAGGCCATTTTCTGGTGGCTGCCTCGGTGATGTTTATGCACAAGTTTGTTGTTCAAGCCAAAGCTGATTTTTCATTAGTATAGGCCAAAAACAGGGATGGGGAGAAAGGGAATAATCACTTTTTCTAATTTAATGAGCATGAACAAAAGCCCAATTATTTCCAAAGTAAAACATTTAAAATTCAGCAATGTGACTCTTAAAATGACTTCCTACTGTAAGTTATACATGAATAGTAAAGAAGCTCCAGATTTTGCCAGTTTGATTCCTTGCTATCCTGAGAAGAGAGGGAAAAACTCCGTATTATGACTTTGTGCCCTGTCAACTATGGGTTTTTTTATAGCTGCTCAAGTTGTAATTCAAAGTTGTAATTCTTTGTATCAAGAGGATGCTGCCAGGGAGCTTCCAGGTCTCGGTGATGTCAAAACACAGGTGTTTTTTTTCTGTAAATTACCTAGTCCGGGCACAGGATTACACAGGTACAACTCAAGTCACTTTTTATTCTCTTGAGCCATAGAGTGCACTTCTGGCCATTAGCACCTATCAATCGTATTTCCAGCATGTTTGGGATAAGTATGTGAGTTTGGTCGTTTTTCCTAAAAGACTGATTCTGGGATCCTTTCTGGGACAAAATGTTTCTAGTTTAGCTTTTTTATGGCTGTGTTTTGGAAGGGTATTGGGGATCACGGAGTCATCATGTTTCTAGGAACACTCGAAGAAATTTCATTTGAAATCAAATGGATGCAGGCTTCAAAGGAAAAGCATTCAAATTACAGATCTTGGCTCTTGCAAGGAAATTAACAGGGGGGGTTTTTGTAATTTCTTCAAAGTGTTAGGATGCTGAAATGGAAAGTGTTGCCACTGGCAGGGAAC